ATGTGACAATATATATATATAGGGTTCAGCCTCCTGATGAGTCGGTGAAACTCCGACGAAACAGTTTGTCACAGCCCCTCGTTTGTTGTCCTCTTCTCTCTCTCTGCCTACGGTTTTACTGCGCAGTTCTGTTTGTGACGATATATATAATACTATAATAATGATTTTTCCACCCGTTGTTATCGTTGGGAAAAGACAAGGGGAGTTCTCAGGGTGTTTGACTCTTGCTTCAACCACGAGTACATTGCCGAACCTACCTTCCAAAGGGGGCTTGCGTGCCGCTTTTGCCGCTGGCCCGGGCCCAAATCGAAATGCTATTACCGCATGAACCGCTAAGAGCAGCACTCTGCTTCCAGTGAATGGGCGGTTTAAGACACGTATATATGTTTAGTCGTGCAACAAGGTACGGGCAAGGGCTTGAAGTTGGAGAACTCGAATTCGAGAAAGAATGAAAAATGCAGAAAATGATGGCAGTGATAAGGTATTTAAAGTTTTTAAACCGTATTTTATTACTATTTTCTGATGTCTGCAAAACGGCACGTGCATTTTTTCCTTGATATACAAAATTGTTTTTTTTGTGGGAATGCTCTGCAATAGGATTCATTTTGGGGAAAAAAGGAAGAAAGGACTTGCACTTGCCGTTGACTGTTGAGTCCTGGAATAATAAGTAAATAAATTTAATAAAATTTGTAGTGTCCACAGGCGAGGTCGAAGACGCAGGATATCAAGATGCTGATCAGGTCCAAGAACGAAAAGGAAGGATCCGACAGAAGTGTGAAGACGGGGGGCCAGGATCACCGCGAGACGTGTTGGGATACCGGCCGCCATCCGTTGCCAGTTCTACAACTAGCCGTTTCACAACGTCGGTGAGGTTTGGGCTGAGATGGGTGCCTATGTGGGGTGGGCGGAACGATTGGTCAATGCATGGAGGTGGACAGGGTGGTGACGATGAAGATGGTGCTCATTGGCCTCGGGCGCTGACGCTCGACGAGGTGAAAAAGCACACAAATGGATTCAAGGAAGAGATTGGCAGAGGTGGTTTTGGAATCGTGTACAAAGGAAAACTGCCCAATGGGAAGTACGTGGCAGTCAAACGCCTCGACGCGCTTTCAAAGCAAGGGAAAAGAGAGTTTTTGAACGAAGTAAACATTCTACACAGGCTTAACCACCGCAACTTGGTCGCTCTGATGGGATGGTGTCATGATATGGATGAACGGATACTCGTTTACGAGTATGTCGAAAATGGTTCGCTTTATGCCCATATGCACGGTGCGTAAGATCCCCTATGAATGCAACTGTGATCCTCTCTCTCTCTCTCTCTCTCTCTCTCTCTCTCTCTCTCTCTCTCTCTCTCTCTCTCTCTCTCTCTCTCTCTCTCTCTCTCT